CAAAGACCATACGCATATTAACACAACTGTTAAATACGAGTAGTAATGATGAGTGTGAGTCCCACCACCTACAATGGCCTATAGTTATCTCTACGGAGTTCCATACGGCTCTTCTGCTTGCTCACTGCTGTTCGAAGCTCGCCTCGTTGGCGGGTGCCTGACGCATCTTCCACCCCGAGGCCCTTCCTCACGCAGGTAGCCTGTGAACAAACAGATCACAAAAAGCCGCTCAATAGCTGTCAGCTGCAACTCTGGCGACCAACACACTATATTCTTCGCTAGTAGGCCCGTGGGGGCAGTCAATCCCTGCACCTAAGTCCCCGCCAAGGGCAGCTCGGGAAGGACGGCGTGTCCTGAGAGTGGCATTGCCGAAACGCCCGCAGAAGCAGTTACTTCGAGTGCAGAAGTGCAAGGGCCATCTGATCGCTTTCGAGGGGAGCAACTGCCCCCAAGGTGAGACCTGCCGATCTACCAGAGCTTTGCAACAACTGACAGGGGAGATGTAGTCAACAGCATAGAAAGCACAATCCTGAATTCGGGTTTCGTTGATAGACCTATAATTAATCTTTGCCGTCTTCGCTAAGCCAAGCATCGCTTCTGGGGCGCGGTGACTGCCGACGCAAGCATGTGAATGTGCGAGGTTTGGCCTGATCTTGGACTGCTGCCTTCGAACATGTAGACTATCTATATATATATACATATATATATATAGGTATGTGTATATATATAGATATTAAATTGGAACGCAACTCCAACTGGAGACCTTCAAAGGTCAAAAAGGCTTATTGGCGAGTAGCTACATGACAACACCTCAGCATCAGCAGTATATGATGTTATCATGATACTCTCGGTCTTAATCTCCGCCGCCTCATGATCGTCGCATCCTCCTTCAATCGGCTGCTAGGCAGTGCAGGTTAAGCGTTGAATTTGCAAATGAAGTCGTCAAGCTTCGAAGCAGACGAATAAATACATTGGCTGTGCTACTATCCTGGGCGTTTCTGTAGCATTGTAGCAGTCCTGGAGAAGGAGATTCTGCCTCAAATTGAATTTGATACTGCAATGGAGACTGCAAGGGGGGAGCCGCATTGGTTTCACGATTTGAGGTTCGTGCTTTGGGTGTTAAGACATCTCTTGATTAGCAAGATGATGGTTGCTTGCCTACCAGTTCTTGTTCCTTTTCTATCTCACTATTGCTTGGGTCTGGTTTCGAAGATATTTGGGACTCGTGCAGCCCAACGTAAAGATGTCAAGATGAGACTAGTGTGGCTGCCCCAGTGCACTGCATGCCGAGCACGGGCTTGTAAAGAAGTCAGAAATGTATGAAGGAAATCTATGTCGAAGGCTGCTATGTAGAGCCTTGTGACCTTGTGTTTGTATGGTGAAAGCATGTTCTCGGGCCCATAAATGTGCCTAAATCAGTTATAGACCGTCACCCCGTGCAACAAAAATGCGCTGGAATCAGCCAGCTTCGCTTCTCAGCGGCTGCACAGATGCTGGAGTCTCTGGCTCAAGTCAGACATGGCTCCGGCTCTCGCTGCTGAAACAAATACGGGCAGGTCCACTGAGGGGCTTAGGGTCAACAGAAAGAGCTGACTTCGCCTTCGCACTAAAGGTGCATCCTGGTCGTGGCAAACGACTTTGGCGTACGCCATAAGAGGATGTTGCTTGATCTTTCTGCAGACCTGTCCGTCAGAGTTTTTAAGGTCATAGCCAGCTTCCAGGTGCGGGTCAGGGACCGTTGTTACAATTTCTCACCGCCAGGTACCGAAGGAGTCCTCATCATGGGGAGGGCTCCTATAAGGCCATTGTTTATGAGACCCGGTGCAGGAGGCCGAGATCGAGACCTTAGAACGTGCCAATCTTTGGTGGCCGATGGCCTTTTCCTGCAGGGGAGCTTGCAACAGCCATTGTGCCAAGAGCCGAAAGGATTGCGCAGGAGATTCTGAAACCGAGTTGGTCTGTGGATTTACTGTTGATGTACCGAGCTTTTTGAAGCAAGCCCTTAAGTATACGACAGTCAACCTCTGCGTGTATCTATAAAACTTACGAGTACAGTATGTACTCATGTGTATGTTTGTTTAGATTCCATTTGCCATGGGCTGTTCTACCCACCATGCCCTCCGATGTCTCTATTTATTTCTGAGCAGAAGGTATGATCGACCAAAAAGGCTTCGTGTGTGGGACTGAAGATTATCATGTCCCTTCGGGATTGAACGGTTTGGCAATCCCTAAACCCTGAACCCTTAACTCTAAGTAGGGTAATTACTTGAACTGTCGCGGCGTGAAGCCGCTAATTTTAAGCTGTAGGTCCCTTTAGGACGTTATGCTCCGGTTTCCGGACACTGCGCATCCTGGAGCAGTTTGAAGGCTGCTCTCGCAGCGTCTCGACCACTATAAAGACTCGAGGCCACAAGAGAGACCATTTCTGAAGCCGGTACTCCACGCTTCATGGAAGTCTCCCTGCGCCCCGAAAGAGGGAGTCTGGGACACTTTTCTCGGTGGTCGGCCCAGGGTGCAGGCCCCAGGGAGATGCAAGGAACTCAGGATTCTTAAGATATGTGCATCCTTGCCCGTGCTTTGTGCGACACTTCCTCAAAGTCCCATATTGGGTGATCAAGGCTGCGGCTCTAAATTAACAGAGCAGAACTACCACCGTGTGTGCACCAGCCATCTGCACGCCTCATGTGAGTAGCTTAGCAGTGAACAGCTTAACATACAATGCAGTTGAACTTGCGAAACGCCTTGACCCTGATACCTCGGGCGACCGCTCACGCTCTGCCCGCCACACTTGTGGCGCCAGACGTCTCATGGGCTGGTAGAGATGCCCACAAGTTTCGGGTGTACGCCTTGCAGGCGCCTTGAGCTTAGGATGAGGGTTCAATCAAGCGCTGAGTCGCCCTGTCGACAGGATTTTGTAGAGCTTTAGTCGTTTTGGTGTATTCATCAACAGCTACTCATACTCCAGACGTAAGACACGAAAGTCGTTCAGACTTTTCAGGAAGCGCGAAGCCCTGTATCAAGATTCGAGTGCGTTGGCTTCCCGATGCCCGATGTCGGCGTGATGCATGGATAATCTTACCTGGTGGCGAGAATAGGTTCCTAGCAGTAGAGGTGCTTCCCACGCACAGGGTGGAACCCGAAGTTTGAGCTTGGCATCTCGAATCAATTGCGACCTTGCACACACTGTGCAATGGCAAAGCACCCTGCAGCAACGGTTGGGCGCACTGAAAAGCTGCAGTATAGGCATCCAACTTGCAAGATGCGCAGTTGGAATGACCCTGTCCTAACAAATCCTACAATAGTCACCGGCCCTCTCTGTCATGTCAAGACAGCCGCATCATTGACAGTGCTACCTCTTCGTGGACGACGCCACGGCTCCGCCTGCGGCAGCGCGGAAGTGAGTTGCTTAGGCCAGCTGCTACCAGTACATTGCGTCCAAGTGGTGGAGCGCAGTGTTTGGGCACCGGTGGCCGGATACTGGGAGGTTTCTGGTTTTGCGCCAGATTCGCGACCTACTGGTGTGTACTTGCAGAGATTTCTATTTGAGCTCTCCATGCCGAGCGCATCCCAGAATCCACGCTGCAGTGCGAGGAAAATGTCCACACCGGAGCCCGGGAAAAAGAAGGGATATTGACCTTGCTAAACAAGGAGGGGATATGATGTTGGACACGCAATTGTGTATACCACTAGATCAGCTCCATGATGTCGTTAATTGCTAGGTGGCTGGCAAGTCATGTGTCGTTTTGCTATTCTTCCACCTATATCTATCTAGACACATGTGTACATGCTGTTGAATGGAAACATAAGCATGTGCACAGGTTGTTGAATGGAAACACAAGCAGGCAAACCAGCATGAAGTTGTATAGAGAATTCCGTGGAGCGCCTTGAGACGTAGGAATCCACAAGTTTGAGCCTTTCATTGGCTTGCTTTCTTCTGCAGACGAACGATTGTCTCAGACAGCCATGAAAAGCCGTAGTCCTGAAAGCACAGTTTTTCATTAGACTCCCTAATCCCACAGCAACCAACCTGAGTGGCCGCAGAAAGCATCAGCTGGAGTCGTGAAGCCTGCAAAGTCTTCACCAGGACCCTTGAGCCTATACTGCTCACAGCCCTATCTCATCGCCATAACTGGGCCATTACCCTAAAACCGCTGCGCCCTGAAGTCTTAAGCTTATATGTAAACGCCTGATAAAGCTTTACGAACCCCAAACCCCTACTACAGCCTTAGCTGAAGAAGCAGCTTCTGTGGGCCGGCTCATCGTAAGCATGGACCCACGGCCGATATCCAAGTTGCCGCGGGGAGCTCGGATGGGTCAGTTTCCTGGAAGTTAGCGCAGGGTAAAATCATATCATATCACCTAATAGAAGAGGGAACAGAATATATTACAGTGCAAGCTACTATCATGTGGTAGAACCTCCTGTGTTTTATATGCCAAACTATCTGTCTATCTATCTATGTGTTTTTCTATCTGTATCTGTATCTACGTCTACATACCTATATCTCTACATCTATATCTATCTCTACATCTATATCTATCTATGTCAGTTATCTAGCTATCTCATTACCTACCTATCTACCTGTCTATCTATATCTGTCTGCTTATATATATATATATATATATATATATATATGTGTATACATATATATATATATATACACATATACACATGTATGTGTGTGTATATATATATATATATATGTATTGGTAAACAGGTCTTCGGGCGTATAGGATCCACAGAGGGTCTTAGGATCTGCGTCGAGCCGTTCAGGTCCTGGTTGGGAGTGTTGTCTGTCTGCCAGAGATCAACTGAAAGACCCCGTAGATCTGTGGCTTCCGCAGATTCCTGCCAAAGATCTTGTTGACAGCACGTCGGTTCGTGGACTCACTCAGGTTGCCAGCTTGGTCAGTGCAGGGGCTTCTGGGTTGTGTAAGGGCTATAGGACCTGAGTTGCGGAGTAAACGGTAGCTGTGGGGCCGGTGATCTCTGCGCTGAGGATATGAGATCCGTCTTCTCATGCCCGGGCCTCTGTGATCTTGTTTGCCCTGGTCCTAGCCGTGTCAGAATCTCGAGCTCGGGCGGTGAAGACATAGGAAGGACTCCAGAGGTAAAGTCGAAAGTCTTCGGTCATTGCACGGTCACGCTGTTCTTGGGTTCGGGTCTTGGGTTTTTTCCCGGGCATCATGCACTGCAGGGCTCCTGATTTCGGGAGGCGGAAATGCACGGGAATGTGGCGGGAAGCCGAGTCGCATCCTAAAATACGTGCGACACGATTGCTAAATTCGGCACTTCCAAAAGCCCGGCAGACTGGCGGGGTTTCCGGTCTGGGTGGAGAGCGAGTCTTCATGACCGCGGAATCGCGAGAACCCCGTAGTGTAGAGTGCAGCAACTGCAAATTAGAAGGGATGGTAAGGAGAATGAGCCATGTAGTACCATTTGATTTCTTCAGCAATTCTGCCCCTGATTGCAGGTCAGGATCTCGACCCCGAGAGCGAGTATCTGATCGGACCTCAGTCTTCGGGAACCTGCGATATATAGTATAACCTAAAGCATATAATATAGTATTATCTACTATAACATAATATATGCATGTAGCGTGACAGAATATAGTATATAGAATCAGATTTTACACAGCACAAGCCCGCGCGACATGTTGCCTGGTCGAGACCAGCTTAGAGTCTGGTCGCATGATCAAGTAAGACGGACCTTCTGAAAAGCAAGCGCCGCACTGCACCCCAATGCAATCTCTTTGACCAGCCTTGTGGCATGGAATCGACGGTGGCGCAAACTCCCGAAGCCTCCCAAACTCGGAACCCTGCGAAGTCCCAAATCCCAGACCCTGCTTGCCTCCGAGATGCCTTCAAGGTTTGTTTTAGGGTGTAGGGGTTTCAGGGTTTGGGGTTCAGAGTTTTGCGGCTTACGGATCAGAGTGAAGGGTCAGGAGTACCAGGGACCGGGGCCCCCCAAAAGCCCTTAAGAGCCTAGAAGAAAATCCAGAGTCTAGAGCCCTCATAGAACCCATACCCTAAACCCTACACACCCTAAACCCTAAGCCCTAAAATACGGACCCCTTACAGAGCCCTTTATAGAACCAACCTTGTATCCTCAGAGCCCGGGGAGCTCAAGCAAGGCCCGGAGTCGGAAAGGATGTAGATTCCGATGTTGGCGGTAGCGGTGCCGATCGGAAGCTCGCAGGGGGACCTGGTTAGGAATTCGAGGCTCTAGTCTGTAAACCTCTTATGCTCCAATCCCAGAACTCCACAACTACGACCAGTAGCTGGGTTCTGGGATTGGAGCATAAGAAGTTTAGAGTTTAGGATTTCGGAGATGATTGGCGATAGGAGTCGTCAACTCGCGTCATTAACTCGTCTTTAGGGTTCGGGGTTGAAGGAGTAAGGAATTAAGGAGCCGGGCTTGTAGTATATTCTGCGTTGTACCGTCGGGATTCTCGAATTTGGGGAGCTTGGGTTCAAGGCTGGAGGGTTTTTGTTCGGCCATGTGGTGCTGTTGCTTTGCCTGGTGGCAGCTTGGAGTGCAGAGGTCGTAGACTGTGGGTCGCGGAATAGCGCCTTTGTGCCGCGAAGGGCGTAGGCTTAGGTGAATCACACACCTGCACTAAGATGGAGTTGGATAGGGCAATGTACCAGGAGAGCTTCATTCGTGTGTTTTGCATTCGGCAGCTTCCGGGTGAAGAGATGTGAGTTTGCTCACCTGGCGGTCAATCAGTTCAACTTTGGGCTTCTTACTCTCTCAGTACTTCTCGCCCTGTCATTCCGTTAAGCCAGAAACTGTGTACTTGAATCCCGGGACTCACACTGAGGCATACACCTCACAACCCACCTACTGTAAACCCCCAAAAACCCAATCCTGCCATCGAAAGGCCCCCCTCTGAAAAAAAAACAAGCAATTCCGAAACCCCATACCCCAGACCCCTAGCCGCAAATCTTGAACCCTAAACCCCAAACACGCTGAACAGAGGCTGGACCTGATTCCACGGCGGTCGCGTTTTGGGGAATCTGCACCGCGGCTGCGAATCGGGGTCGGGTCGTCTTGTTCTGACTTGTCTGGTAGGTCATGCTTTGAATTAAGACCGATTTAGTTTTATTACAGTTATGATCGTTCTTACCAGTCGTAGTTTGCTTACAACTACGACTCTTGTTGTTGCTTGTAAGCAGTTGCAGCAACTATTGCTACTATTCACAGAAGTACAGGCTTAGGGCTTTCGGCTTTAAGGGTCCCATGCGGAGCTTGGAAAGGGCCTGGCCCTTACGGCGTTCGTGTTCACATCGTTGGAGCAGATCGAGCTCTGTTGTGAGGAGGGCCATGACAACATGCCCAAGCAATTTCCTTCGGCATTTTATTGCAATCGCAAAGCAGGCGTTTGAGCCGCGCTTGGAAACTTGTTCATGGCTGACGGGCACAGATGCTGATGATGATGAGGCTGGTTGTCATGATGCTGCCGATGACGATGTTGACAATGGTCACGATTAGCATGAATGCGGTCATGGTACTTGTGTAGGGGTGGGTGAGGCCACCTGGTCATCTGGCATTCACAAAGCCCAGGCCTGTTGCATGCTGTTGACATTCGCATCGCTCTTCGTTCATGGGGTTTGTCCCGATGTGTCTGCTCATGTCGAGCTCCAAAGTTAATCTCAGGCGACATCAAGTATGCCGGAACCTGAGTTGCTGTTCCACGAACAAGACGAGCAGGGCGGGAGTCTCCAGGTTTGGTCTGCAAGGGATTGAAGTATAGTCTCATGGTTGATAGACCCAAATGTGCGAAGTCCGTTTTGTGCACTTTCGAAGCTCGCAAAAAGGTCGTCATCGTCTTCTTGGGCTTTTGAATTAAGGGGTTGCGGGTGGGAGACTCTCACGCTGAAGCCTTGCAGGAAAAGCTCTATGCCCTCACCTCCACATCACTGATTTTACGCGTTTGCCACTCGACATGATGCAAAGGATGCTGAAGCAGAACACGCTTGTTTGGGGTATCGGTGACCGTATCGGTGCATGCGTTCGGTTCGGCGGCGGCGGTGCTGCTGTTTGTATTGGTATTTTTGGTTCAGTCTGGCTGGGCAAGCAGTCCGACTCAGTGCTCAGAGCCTTACCGTGGCCCCGTTCCTTCCACTCCCTGAAGGCTCATGAACCAGCCTATGTTCCATTTCCATTCTGTTCTCTTCCACTTCCACATCTACATAACGTGTATGTGTGTGTATCTGTATATACTATAATATTGATAATATAAGGTAACACAATATAAGTTAGTATAATATAATATTATATATATATGTATATATGTGTATAAATATATATCAAGCAGATATATGCATGTATGTTTTAATTGATAATGTAATATGTTGTTTTTCATCTCACTACAGGATCCTCGTGCTCCGCTGAGAGAACGAGCCAGGGCCCCGAAACGAAGTCTGACTGGGGGCCGGAGTTCAGTTTCCCTCTTTTATCCCGAGGAAAACAAAGGCTTATAGTTTAGGGTTGAGGGGTCTAGGGTTTAGGGTTTGCAATGGGGCTTGGGATGATAGACTTAATGGGTCACTCAGCAAGAGCATGCTCATTATGGGTCTGCGGCAATTGTGAGGCTTGCGGCATCCTGCACGCGGGGCTATCAAGGGTTAAACAAAGCTGCTGCAAGCAGGTCAAGAAAATGTTCCCAGAGTGCAAATTTCCTTTCCCTCAAGCCAGGCAGCTTTGGTCTTGCCTTACATCTGGAAAGCCTTTCCATGAAGCCTCTCTGCAAGAAGAGCTCTATAAACACCCCCAAAACCCGTTGCAAAGTCCTACAGCGACTCTCATCAAACATAACAACTCTATGTTTGCGCTGTCCTCATGCTCTCCGCTCAGATTCGTGTGCTCGAGCTGGGCGATGGCCGCTCCTCGCGCTTCTCACACCATGGCCGCTATATCAAGGCACTGGTTCAGGTTTCGGGGAAGTCTTCCCGTTCAGGGTTTCAAGATCCGAGATTTAGCGTTAATGGTTCAGGCATTATTATTATTAGAGCTTTAGTCGCCGGAATATAAAGCATACTGTGCGACAACAGCGATCCCTGCAACGACTAACCAGCACATACAAGTTACACACCCAAAAGCCTGCGCCATGAACCTAAGCTTTTGGACTCTAAACTCAGAACCCCGAGTCAACAAAACCTTAAACCATCTTATGCCCGCTTCCCCGAAGCGTTTATGTAGGAGAAGTTTGACTCCAACTATTGCATGGCGAGAGCTCCCATAAAGCGCGCGGCCGGGATCCTAAGCGCTGTGCTGGGGGCGGGGTGGGGGCTTCAATGAGTCTTCGGGTTCCGCATGTTCCCGGTTTCAACTACGACTTACGGTTAAAGTCGGGTTTATATTTAAGTTTATACAGCAGCAAGCAAGGGTTCATTGGTAGACATGCTTTCACTCATTGGCTGAGGGGCAATCGTTTATTGTTAGTCTTCGGATTCCGTAGCCAGATGGAAACTCACTCGGGCGTCAGCACAAAATCACGCAAACCCTTCTGCCCTTTCGTGCTGACCCAAGACATCACAATGGCAATTTGTTACTGCATCTTGCTTGGGTGGTGAAACTGTCCGTTGTTGCCTTCGGGTTCAGTGTTGTTTGTTTTATGGCTAAGGGGACTGTTGGAGTTTAGTCGCAGTCGACACCTGTTTTCATTGGGAGTGCCGGGTTTGGGTTCAACTCCGAGATCTTATCGCGTTTGCTTGCATTTTGCGCAGCAGCACCAGCCTGACACCCTAGTTGCTGGACCTGGGCTGGGGCAAAGTTCAACAGTATTTAAATTTGGTCCATTCGATCCACCCACAGAATCGCGGCTTAGCGACATGGACACCAAGTCTCTTACTGTTGCATGTTTAAAGAACTGCCGTGTGGCACAACCTGCATCGGAGATATCATGCTGCATTTGCATATCTGGCAAAGCATATAATTAGGCCATAGGTCAGCCGCCGTCGCGTGAGCACTCAATCCTGTAGTGTATTGGGAGCGCTGCAAGTCTTAGGGTACTTGGCTATCGTTTAGTCGTGTAGTAGTCTACGAACATGTTGCAAACGCCGAATGATTGTGAACCTTGCCTCGGTGACCACTTAAAGTATGGTTTTTCGGATTATTTAGGCCATGGACAGTTACGACGATGTTATACGATGTCTAAACGCGTGAAGCGAGATCTTCGATCATTGTTGGAAGTACTTACTTAGGACCGACGGGAAAATCACGCTTGCCCAAGTTTGTAAACAGCAGGACAGCTAGCTTGCAGCGGAATCGCGTCCCCCTACTATTAATGCCCCCCTAAAATAAAATTAACTCGCCGCCAGGATGTCGCTATTTCGGGCCCACAACTGAAAGTTAATCAAAATTAGGGGGGAGCTAGGATTGTGTGAGATTTAATAGAGCCCAAGGCTACAGCAGCACTAATCAGACCGAAGAGACCAGAGCTTTAGGGTTTAAGGGTTTAGGGCTCAGGGCTTTGTGGGGTTTAGAGCTTTAGGGCTTTGGGGCTTCAGGGTTTAGGGCGGGACTGTCGGCTCTACAGCCGGAACGGCTGCGTGATGGGCGGTCTTTGTGTCTGGCTCATTATTCCTCTGAATCCGACTCATACGCGGATGCCCCGAAACCCCCTCTAATATTAAATTTGTTTCCCGGATATCAAATTTTTATATTAGGAGGAGGGGTGGCGTTTAATGTTAGGGGGAAGGGATTATACATTTGCACTCCCACCTGTAGCCTTGATGGTAGAGGTAGAAGATTAGAGGAAGTAACCACATCGGAGATATGCTTCACATTGGAGCGGCCCTTTCTGCCTTATCCCAGTGCACTTCCCCCAGCAAGGGCTTAGGTTACCTGGTCTGCACGCAACGAACTGCGGCGGGTGGTCATACCGTCTATCTGGATTGCAACTTTGCATATATACATCTATATACATATGCCTGTTTCGCAGTTTGTCTGCAAAGTCTGTACGCGTAATGTACGTAAGTATCTACGTACATATAGGTATCTATTCATGTATGCCTGCATGTTTGCATGTGGGTATGCGTGTGCTTGTGTTGTGATGTGTCAACAGATGTAGGGCAAACACCGTGTGTTTACATGCACCGGCACACGCACACACACGCACACACCACCATTATTATTGTGCATATACATATATAAACACCTGCGTACATACGTAGATACGTATACATATTCATACATATACATAAATACACATGCATACATAAAAAAACAGAAGCACATTTGTTTCTATATATATATACACACACATAGAGTGTGTGTGTACATATATATATATATGTGTGTTTTATGACATGTGTGACAGTTTACATGCACATGCAGCTATGCACATGCGTATGTATATAAAAACCAAACGAGTTGTGATATGATAAGTGCAAGCCGTGATGATGTATTGTTGTGTGTGTTTCTGACCCTGCTACTAACTTCGTCGGGCTGGCTGTCAGCTTGGCCATCAGGTTCACAATCATCGACACCATCATGCACCCGAGTGCCGACATTGCTACCTAAACTGCCAAAACCTTGTCAGCCTTGATCTAATCTCGTTGCCATGGCACACATTCACCAACACGACCACCGTGCTACTGCCATTGCCATGCTTGTTTCCACCCGCAATCATCGTCACCACCTTCATGCTCATGTTGCATCACCGCCGCCACGACTGCCCTCGAATGTTCATGTGGCCAGCCTGACTTCAGCACCAGGACCAGAACCACCGTCATGTTCCACATCATTATCATCATCATGGTCATCATCATCACCGTCACCATGGTCGTTCCCATGGTGATGCATTGGTTCCATCACCACCGCCTTGCCGCCGCCCCCACAATCAGCTTGTGCTCAGACGAAAGCATACATGTGTCATCGCATTCATCCCACCATCAAAACCCTCATCATTATCAGCAGCACACCTTGTCGTCATCACAACTGTCAAGAGTTCTACAACCTGCATCATTGACAGAGCCGTCGTCTAACGATCCAAATATTCCAAAGTTGTTGGGGTACCTGCGAAATAGTTGTCATGAAGAGTGCCTTGACACTGGTTAAAGTAGCTGCATGACGCTGCTGATTCTGCTGCTAGACCTTGAGGGCTATACTTCCTCGCTGAGGTGATGACGGAGAACAAGAAGTTCACTCACGATATGCAACTTGCAAGCAATACGATCATCCGAAGTATCAGCATCTGGCTGCTTTCGTCAGATTTTCGGAGAAGGCCTGTGGGTAGCAAAAATTTGTGTGGAAGGTGAGGCATAAAAAGGTGATCTTGTCCGAGCCGCACCCAGGATTTGTTCACGTTGCCCTGTCATGAGCAGTGTTGTCATGCAGACATATATATATATATATGTCTGGCAAGGCATGGGCTTCGGTGCATCCATGCAAATGTCAGACTCAGAACCTTGGGCGGTGGCCGATGCGCACTTTCAAGATGATCTTCCCATGAAGACGGAAACTGTGAGCTCAAGCTTCCACCATCCTGCATCGTAGCATACAGAGCGGCAGGTAGTAGTGCAAATATTTTGTATGTGAGACTGATATGATTTTCTTGTAGTTGCACAGAAAATGTTTATGTTTTTTGTTTTGCAACAACCTTGGATCAGGTGTGTACGAAAGAACGAGGGCACACACACACACACACACACACACTCACACAACACACACGCGCATATGACATAAGCTGGAAAGCACGTGTAGGCCAATGTTTCTCTCGACAAGAGAGGAGCTCTCGCCCGCAGCCCGATAAGGAGACTTGATTCCCGTTACCAAAAATCAGAGTCTGGCTGCAGAGACCAAAACTTCATTGAGGTTCGTCCAGGAAGGTTTCGCTCACTTGCGGCCACCGACAGCAGCATACCCGAGGCGATGGCTACGGATCTTTTTTGCAGGTTCCAGCTTCAGTTTGACGAAGTTTGATTCTTGTGAGCGTTCGGATGACGGCTATCCTTGTGGCTTTTGGTGTTCTGTTTATTGTTGTGTGCGTTTGCTCCTGTGCTTGGAGGTGGCTACTGTCGTGTCTTCTGCTAACGTGCTGGCAATTGCTATGGAGAAGCGACACTTTAAACATTTCAGCTGCTTCGGTTTTCTTGTAGCATCAGTTTTGCCGTCAATTAAGATTGTTTGCGGGTACAGGGCTTGAAGCTTGGCGTCTTGATTCACGGTCCTAGGGTTCATGGAACTCAAAATTTCCCACAGAGTTCTTGCATGCCCGGGCGAAGGTCCGGGCAGCTGTTCTTGCGATTATCCAATCTGTGCACTCCTCCAAGAACCAGTATGCAAATTTGTTCCGCTCGTTCTAATTTTCGTTCACTCCTATGACTCTGAGAAGCACTGGTTTCTGTCACACCGGTTCCCGTGCAGTCTGCGGAATGGCGAGAGATGCAGCGGTTTTTCAGGAGTGTCGCAATACCATATCACTAGATGGGGCACGTGCAATGTGCAGGATCACATTGTTGATGCATGCCGGCTTCATGAACATATTGACTTACAGGAAGTCTTATGAGACCGACTCCAAAAGCGTTGTAACGCCATGTTTGGAGGAAGAAGACGGATGAGTTTCAGCAAGATCCGTCATACGAGTGGCAGCACAGCAAGTTTTGCTCAGCCCCGTGCCACCTGTGACAGAACATGGCTAAAGCCGGGTAGAGTCCAGACCGAGCTCTTGCAGCCTGCAGCTGGTTCGTACGAGCAGCAGCACATGTCGCGTTCTTCATGTTGAAGCAGGTCGCTGGGAGCTTCGTGGTGCAGTCGAATGTGTGTGTGTGTGTGTGTGTGTACCCATGAAACCGTTGGTATTCGGCACCAGACTCAAGAGTGTGCAGGCGGTACGAGCCGCATCTTGCCAACCGCATTCTCCGGGACCTCGACATCAAGGGCAACGGTGCAGTCGTGTCAGGGATCCCAAGTGTCCTGCTGGACCTACTACTGAAGAGGACTTAAGATTTGACGGAAAAGCGTAGACTGCCGGCTGGCTCGTGCGAGCACTCATGCTTTGCTTCGGAAGTCTTGGCGCTTGTGTGCTATACGTTCGAAACCAAGGCTCAAGCTTTGCAACCGATCTCGGGGTGCCGGCGTGGTGGCCAGGGACCTACTTTGCTCTGCAGCTGCTGCTACTGTGATTGCCAGGACTACGACCATGATGGCGAAGGCCACTACTGGTACTACTGCTGCTGCTACTACTACTACTACTATTACTACTACTACTACTACTACTACTACTACCACTACTACTACTACTACTACTACTACTACTACTACTACTACTACTACTACTACTACTGCCACTACTGCTACTGCTACCACCACCACCACCACCACCACCACCACCACCACCACCACCACCACCACCACCACCACCACCACCACCACCACCACCACCACCACCACCACCACCACCACCACCCCGACCACGACCACGACTCCGACTCCACGACCACGACTACGACCACCACTGCTACCAGCTGATTCTTGTGCTTTGTTCCTTCTGGTGTGTGACAGCCAGTGGCGCGCCGAGGTTGTTACAGCTTCCGAGCTCGATGATGTGCTCAGGACGGTCGGTTACGTAGTCAAGATGTTCTTGATTTTTGCGCCGAAACACAGTCCTGCTGCAGCCTCTCCTAGATCCCAAACTCGTGTATTCGACGCGGTATAAGAGCCAAAGAGGGAAGGCAACCCAGAAGCGATCCACCAATCCTAAGTGTGAAATCCAGTATCCTCTGAGGCAGATTGCCCAATGCTGATGCTGTCGAGGAGCATGATGATGATGATTATGATGATGGCTGTCGTCATCACCATCATCATTATGATCGCGATGGCTGGCCAGTAGCCTTGACGTTCTTCCTACAAGTCATGTCTACTGGCATTGGTTGTCGTGGTTCTTTATCTTCGTGCTGGCCGTGTTTTTTTTGGTGGTGCTAGGACTTTTCGACCTAATGTTGCACTTATTGTCAGTGTCCCTTTCTGATGGCGAAATTCCTTCGCCGCATGCTGTTGGAGGAAACTTCTGACGCCGCCTCTTGCCGGATCCCCAGAGTCGGATGAGAGCAGTGCGCAGTGTGCGGATGTCGCACAAGTTTCCCGAGGTTTCAGTCCAGTGCAAGCGGACTAATGCTTGCTTGGAGGAAGACTTGGCCGACTTCCTGGCCGAGCGTCGCACGGCGGCATTGAGCCTTGGGGAGGAGCAGCCGCTCTTTGAGGCCGCGGAGTACAAGAGAGTTGATGGGTTGTGAGGAGAGGTGGTCTTTGTCCTCGTTCTGGCGCCAATGTCAGAAGCAGATTTCGTCGCCATCATCTTAATCGCAATCAACTGGCCATTGTTAGTTGTTGTTTCATTGTCATCGCCGTCATCATCACCAGCATCAACGTCATTGCCGACATCAGAATTACTGTATGAATCATCGAACACGGTCGGCTCTGGTTCACTTAGTTATCCATCTTCACTCGTGCACCTTCCTGCACCTCGTCCTCCTCAGTACCAGTCCTCTACATATCATGTTGTTTTTCATCTTCATCATCGGGCATCCTGACCATCAGCACATTCGTTGATTTGTTGGTCCTTCAGTCTGTTGGTATAATGGTGATCACGATATGCTTATGATGATCGTGACGATGATGGTGGTGATGAGGGTATGTTCATGTCGTAGTAGCAGGCGCAGCAAATGGTGGCGAGGATGGCGGTGCGGGTGGCGGCGGTGACTGATAACGACCGCAATGGTGAGGAGGCGCTGTGGCCGATTGTGACTGACAGCGACACCGATGATGATACTGGTGTTGAGGTCCATGATGAGGATGAGGATGAGGATCGGATGAGGCCGGTAGCGGTGTCTTCGCTCCCGGTAGTCGTATTTATCAGTCGTACTGTCATGCTTCTGATGACGGCAGCAAGAGTCAGAATGCTGCCCGTGTGTTGACTGGGAAACGCGAAGTAACGATATGGTACATCGCGACAACTACTGTGCTGACTGCCAGCACCAGTATTAGGCCTGATGGCCCGTGCTACAGTCGTGATATCCTGCGGTGATGGTGGCGCTGATGTCGGTGGTGGTCGTGGTCGTGGTGGTGGTGCTGCTGCTGGAAGTGGTTGCACACTACTAGCATGACCAACCCCACGCTTTTGCATCTCACCCTCTCCGGACTCACCCCTCCCCTTCTGTGCAGTCGAGTTACCCAGACGCGATTTGTCACACAAGACGGAGCCGTCCGGAGACTCTCTCGATATTCCATTGGGCGTGAAGGACAGAGCCGGAAAGCCGAACAAAGCTGTGAATACAGCAACTCCCGTGGTGAGCAGAAGCTTCTCTTGCAGATTCATCTGCAGCCGCCTTACTTGTCGCACGTACACTGACTACCCAAGTCGGGTCAAGATAAGCCAAGTCACAGATCGGGCCGGCACCCGGCACCATCGAAGGTATTTCCATTTCTACTCTGCTCCTGCCACAGCTAACGATGCCCTGTGTCGTGCTTGTCTTCGTCATCTCATTCCGAAGACAGGAGCAGTGCCTGCACTGGTGGTCGAATGAGTGCCCCTTGTTCGTGGTGGAACGTTGCTGCGCCTCCATTCCGGCTGCGCGCCAAGAGTGATTGATGTCCGGTCCGAAACGAGGCTTGCAGTCGTAAAGTCTGCCGTGTGGCTTGGACATGACAGGGTTCTGGGCCTATACATGACAATGAGGTTCCAGGTGCTCACATGGAAATTCAGGCATGTTCCTGGCCGGCTGCCTTTCAGGCAGTCGCGAATATCATATGACTATCACCCCCAGGGTTTGGGGTTTAGAGTTTAGAGTCTAGTCTAGGGATACAGAAGGGGTCTGCTGGATGTACGTAAGTTTTCATGTAAGACACGCGGTATTCGGTAAATGTCGCTTCTCCGTCGGTTCGTATGCTCTGTACTCATCTCCCCACTTAAACGGCCTACAACCCTAGGAATCCCGTAGCACAGCCCGAGTCCCGAAACACCATCAGGCCCAAAGCCACTTAGTGACTCCAGCTTGTCCGGTCCCCGCGTGCAACAAACTAAACCCCAGGCCCCGAAAGCTGCAAAAGACTGCCTTTGAGGTGGCGAAAGATGAAGATAGCCCAGAACGCTTCGACGGAACCCTCCGGGCCCTAGGCTCAGTGTTAGTGTTAGTGGTGTTGTTGTTGTCTTCCGATGTAGGGTTGATGTAGAGTTTGAGATTGAGGGCTTAGGGTCTGGGGAGCTTACAGCGCTTAGGACGTGCATGAAGGTATAGAGGCTGTGGCGATTCTGAGAAACAGAGAAACGAATAGACAGGTAAATGAATAGGTGTGTGTGTGTATATATATATATATGTACATGTATATGTATGTATGTATGTATGTATGTATGTGTGTATGTATGTGTATATATATATATATATATGTATGTGCATGATGCTGCTAGGTAGGGTCGATGCAAGTGTTGGAGGTTCTTATTGTTATCAGCTCCTGTTCGGGAGCGGTCTGAAAGCAGTAACTCTTTCAAGCAAAAGGCCTTTCAACTCCCGAAATCGTGTCAAACTCTCGAACACTTTGAACCCTGCAGTGGGGTCGAAGAGGAAAAGAGGGCTCCAAGGCTCATCGCCTTCTTGCTTCCGCTTGCCAGACCGAGGTCGCCTTTGCACTTTACAGGCCAAAGTCCGTCAGCAAGTACCAGGCGCCTGAATGCAACCCGAAGAGATAAGACTACTGTAGGACGACACATGTGCGCCTTGGGCCCGTTGCATCACAGACCGGGCTAGGGTTCAGGCAGATTAGTTTCCGTACCACAGTGGATGCAGAGGATGAGCATCAAGTGAAGCCCTTCGAGATCGACTGGCCAGGGGCCCAATGATCTGTCGATTCGGAATTGGAGATTTATGGGACGAAGGGCCACAAGACCCATGTCCTGACTGTTTTTTTGGTCGGTTCGCGACACTGGTATTCTTCTCCGAATCACATCCTCACCGGATGGAGGCTCTTGCGCTGGTTGGATTTCTGAAGTTCGTCTAGTATTCAAAGGGTCTTCGTGAGGTCTCGCATGTCTGAATTGAATCAAACGGACATGAAACTAAGTTTACGAAGTCTCGACCCGGCGCAATGCATGATGTTGTTGTCTCCTTTTTGTACCCACTGCACTGATGGCAAGCAATTGTCCAAAACCTCCCCCAAAGCACGTAATGTAGGAACCTGATTAAGAATCCCTGGCCAATGACCCCAAAATAGTCGGATTCACATAAGGAACCTTGATGAAGGCTCAAGGTTTCTTCACCAGGTTCCTACTATGCTCCCGAGGCTCGGAGGCTACTGGAAGCTGCCCAAGACCCCGGTCTCCGATGGCCTCTGACCCGGCAGCCTCTCTTTTAGGAAGAGTTTGAGGAGCTCAGAGACTCGATTTGGACCGATGGTTTCGGATCAGTTACGTAGTGAACAGCGGAAACTCGTGGCAAACCACCTTGAGAGATCTTGATGCTACGACACGGGCTTGACACGCAGACAAAGCATGGTGTGGCCAAGAAGGAACAGGGTCAGCGCACTCGTCCGAGCCGGACTCGTTCTCGCAGCGCTCCAATGTCGGCCCAGGTGCTTCTGAAAATCTCGAGGACATCCACAACCGGATTGTTACAGCCTGAGTGCTGCTGTAGGCTTTGCAGGCTCGTGACTGGTTGAGAGTACAGGGGCCTCCAGCCTTGCCGATGCTGCGTAGTCACACTACATGTGCGAGGATCGCAGGCACATTAAAACCCTGGGAGGTTTCTCGACTGTGTAAATCTGTCTACAATTCTACTCTCTGTGTCACCCGCACTAAGATATCAAGCTCCAACTCGCTCCAAGTCGCAAGCCCTCGCAACCCCAAACCTTTCAACTTCTTCCAAAACAAAAGGACCCTGTAAGAGGTCAGCTCCTTTAACTCCGTGGACAAGCGCACGGCGCCAGTTCCAATGGAGCAGCTTCAGGAGGTCCCGCAGGGAGGGAGGGAGAAAGAGAAAATTCTGGTATGCATGCATTGCAAGGCAAGGCCAGGCATGGCAAGGCAAGGCAAGGCAAGGCAAGGTATGTATGTATGTATGTATGTATGTATGTATGTTATGTTATGTTATGTTATGTTAGTATGTATGTATGTATGTATGTATGTATGTATGTATGTAATAAATATATATATATATATATATATATATATATATATATACACACACTATATATGTGTGTATACATATACATACATATATATATATATATGATTATGTGTATGTGTGCTGATTGTTTATGTATAAGCACACACACACACATGGGTGCGCATACATACTTTACAGTTACAGCTGTCGTTGCCCTACCTCGTCATGTGGTTCCTGAGCTTCCGTAGCTTTCTCATACAGCATCTCGTTTTCTTTCAGTAGCTACCTTTGGCTTATCTAACTTTAGTATTTAGTTTACTGTATCTTCGCTTCTCTTCTCCACTCCTCTCCTTGACTTTCTTCTCTTCTCTCCTCTTCTGTACTAGGTGTGAAAGTATTGCAGACCTGCGTCCAATCCCCAAATCAGCAATCCTCTAAAGCTGAGTTCGAAGCATTACAAATCGCAAAGCCCTTGAATTCATGATAAAACCTCACACACCCTCAACCCTAAATGCAAGCCACACTTTATATGACCCGGCAGAGCAGGTCTATGACGCCCTGACACCGGCGCTGCCACGCATTTTCAGCTCCGGGACGATCAGCGTCCAGTGCACCGGCCGCCAGGGGTTTCCAAAAATTCGGGGTACCTTATTCTGGGGTCCTTATAATAAGGGTCCTACTATTTAGGGTACTATAATAGGGTCCCCTATTTTCGGAAACTCCTAAGTATGTCTGGAAGTAGTCGTGTTGATGGTCGGGGTCATTCTAGGGCCTTCCGAGGGGTTTCGAGTGATTCAACTATTTCGTGTAGGGGTTTGGTCATCATTTAGAGGTTCGGTGTCCCTATGTAATCTAGGACGGCGAGCTGTTCTATTTACGACGTATGCATCAGGCGAAGCTGTCAGGGTTGTGCATTCAGAACTCGTCGGTCCCTGCAAGTGGGGGTTTCCGAAAGTTAGGGGTGCCTTATTTTAGGGTCCTTATAATAAGGATCTTACTTTTTAGGCCAGTATATTAGGGTCCCCTAGTTTCGCAAACTCCCAACTGACTTTCCCAGGATGATCATGAACGTCTACCGCCAGGATCGGGCTGGCTCTGGCTGGCACTTGGGTTGGTTGGCGTAATATATACTACATTTATATATATATATATATATATATATCTGTACATATATATATATATATATATATATATACATGCATATATATTCGTTGGGCAGGATGGTTTTGATGTCATTGATGACACTGTTGTCTGAGTCAGCCGGCCACTTGCGGAAAATGCACGACAGTTCATGTGATGCATAGTCAAATGCTCAGCCACTTGACGGTCTCCGTCGAAAAAGAGTCCACACGGTCTTGCCTAACTTGGCTATGCCCTGGTCCCCCTATACCCTTGCCTTGCCTTTCCATGAGGACGAGCTGTTCTGCGCCTTTGCGCTGGCTCGTGTCGCGGCGGCCATGCGAGTAGCGGCCTCGTCGCGCAGAAGGGGTAATAAGCCTTCGGAAAAGACGAGCAGCTACGCCGCTTGCGCACACGTTGACGTGACCATTGAGTGAATTATCGAACTTTTTGCATCGACTTCACAAGCTTGCTTCCAGAGAACTTGTTGAGTATACCTGTGCGAGCGCCACTAACGTATCGCAAATGAACTCTGCGGCAACTAGGCTTCAGGCTAGGGGTACTGTCAGGATAGTTGCTAGCTTCATATAGCCTTGTGACATCGCCTTACCTTATCCTCACATTTCAACAGCACTGTTTTGGCTTATGCTGTTCTTGCAATGTTTCAAAGCACTACACTGATAGACCGTTGTTTAGTCAGCACAAGATCTATTGCGCTGCGCAACTATGTTCCTGCGCTTCGTTTGGATACTATCACTTAAGAATTCCAGTGGAGTACAGTAGATCACTCGGAATCAGCCAGTACCTCTTAAGGCCCGTCTAGCGGAGTTTTAGCTCCCAACACAAATGTGACGAGAGGCACCTAGGTGACGACCCGACACTTCCAAGTGACGCCAAGATACCACCGTTGCAAGCCATTGCAGGAGCTTCGAAGTACGGGTATCGTTGTTCCACAAATTTCACAGAACCAACACGACACCGCCACGCGTTCTCCGCCGAAGACTTCAAAGTCTTGCGCAGAAATCGTGAGTATTTCGAGTGCAATCCTGTAATTCCAGGTCCGAAGCCCAGGACTCTGAACCCAAGGGATGGGCGACGAAAGGGTGGCTCGGTACATTCCGGATCTTTTGCGATGCAACCAGTCCGAACCCTAAACCATGAACATCTATGTCGGTCAAACCCACAAGCTTGAGCATAACAGGTCGACCACTTAGAGCGTGCTCTGGGTCTCTTCGACTTAGCAAGGAGGCTTGCCGGCAGCTGTTTGGGCAGTCAGCACTTTCCAGCAGCTGTAGCAGTATCCTCGTTGTTTGATGACGAGGTCCGTGAATAGAATAGTATTTAGTACTAATGCAGTAGTAGTGGCAGCGG